AGTCAGGACCATATTTTTGTATTCTGATATACTATATTTTTCCTTCCAAGCATCTCTTTCAGACTCCATTCTAGCCGTATTTTCCTGATACTCTTTCATGTTCTCAATAGGAATGGCAGTAGATGATGATGTAGCAATAAGGAATAAGGGTTTCTCGGAATAAGAAGGCATCCTGAGAGCATAAGCCCTATCACGAACCCATTGGAGGTAAGTATCCAAAGAAACAACAAGTCTCTGCCCTAACATGACTCTTCCCTTTCTATGGACATGACGCCAAGCCCTTTCAATCTCCTCCTTAGCTGCTTTGTGATCCTTTCCTTCTTGGAGAAAGAAACCACACAAATTAAGGTTGTTTGGCTTGTCCTTCATTGGTTATCCAAACGGGCGGCACGCAAGAACAGGATTGTAGTTAATTCCTCCTCTCATACCAAAAAGAGGCACGTTGTGAAAAACACAACAACTATCAATGGTATTCACATCATAATAAGCTTGATTGTACCAATCTATGTTGGAATGAGTAAGAACCATAATTTTTGTCACCCATCGTGGCACCTTCTTGAGATCCCAAAAAACATCAGACCCGGATAAATGGGAAACATACCACTGGTATAACAATGGTGTACAACAGATAATCATCTCACCTTGGTAGGAATTCCGAAGATGGATGGAATAAAATGTATCTCCTAGCAGCGTAGGGACTGGATTTCCAATCAAAAAGATTCTAATGGCGTTGACATCCATAAACTTATCGATGTTAGGGAACAAGAACAACCCATAAGCAAGCAAAGCAAAGACAACTTCAAAGGCGATAATATCCTTTATCTCGGCGAAGTAACGAGCTTTCTTCAACAAAAGTTGTACAGGTAAGCCTCAAATTCCTCCATTGGTAGTCTTGTTATCTTCTATCTCAGACTTCCTCAAGTAGGTAACGACTACTATCTAATGAGATTTGGGTTCCCCTTCTAAACTGGGGAAAGGAACACAGTCGGTGATTGGTAAACCATGTATATAAGAATACTCTTCCAAAGTGGGCATTAAATGATAATCAGGAAAAGTGAAACATCAATACAACATATCATATAACTGGACCGATGTTGTAATGATACCGTCCTTCATCTTACGCTTCATAAGAGGAATAATAGATCCATATTTATTTTGTAAATCTGTAAGGTTCTCAATCTTGGGAAGCAAACTCTTCAACTCTTCAATCTCAGGATCCTTGAAATTGTAACTCTGAGTGTTTCTTTTTCCAAAATCCATAGTAAAAGTACTTAAGATGTATACGAAAATCATTCTTTAGTTCCTTGAAAAACATGTTTAAAGAATGTTTATGGATGCATGAATGAATGATAATGCAATAATTACACATAAATTCACAAACATGGGGGTTCAAAGGTTCAATGCTACGAGCATGGAGTCAAAGGTAAAGACCACCCCCAAGGTATGTACCAAAGGTTTAATCACACCTGTAAAACAAGGTTCTGAAAGTTCCCAGAGTCTACGATTCTCCTTCGAATATTACCAACGTCCCGATTACTCGGTAATTAGCAATATTCTCAAGAGAAATTCATCTAAGTGCAGCATCGCGTGACAACTACTTCCGGATTACTCTGTTATAGTCTACGCACTACACCTAATAGGCCAAGATGGGTTAAGGGTTCTACGGTTCCCAACTTCTCTGGCTTCTAGGTAAAAAGAAGCAATGTCTTCCCGATTACTCGGTAAACATATACTACAGCCAAAGGGGGTTCCACTGAGTGGGGGATTTCATGTCTCCTTCTTCGAGATTACTCCCTCAAAGTTAACATGACTATACCGCCCGTCCTATTCTTAAGTGTAACTTAGTCCGGGTATAGTACTTGTCCTTTGTAAGTATCATTAACGGCCAAATAACCATAATATATAACATATAATCAAACAAATAAATAATAATAAAACATATATGACAAGTTAGGCTTAACCCATTTAGGGATGGACCAGCAAGAGGTCAATCTTTCCCTAGCAGAGTTGCCAATTCTGTAGCGATAAAAAATGTAGTGGTGTAAATCGAAGATCGAGCTATTAATTAACTCGACTCGCAAAAAGCAAGAGTCGCCACCACGCTTTATCATTTCCATGGGAAAGGGGAAAAGAGAGAAATAAAACTCTTTAATATGCAATGTAAAGTAATACTTAAAAGTAATGAAAATACAATACATTTTTGAAAGAGATTGAAGGTTCAGGGGTTGGTTATACAAAGGGAAGGTACTAGCACCAAAAGCATATGCAGTACTCTGCAGGAACCTTTTGATTATCTGTTTTTTTGGTTAAATTGTTTGTTTGGTTAAAATGGTTTGTTTGGTCAAAATGGGTGTGAATGAGATTTTGAAGATATGACGAACTAGTGTCGAAGTTTTGACTTAAAAGGTATGAGTTTTAAAATTGAGTCTTTTAAGAAAATTAACTTAAGATTAACAAAATAGTAAAAACAAAAATGAATGAAGGGATTCACACAATCGTATAAGATGTATTTTGTGATATGAAGTCAACAAAGTTAAAATATTTACCTTGGAATTTAGACGAACGAAAGTTATAAAGATTAAACAAAGTTAATTAGAATGACAATTGAATAGTTAAGTAAATAACAAAAATTAAATAAGAGATTAATTTATACTAACATGTATTTTGAAAAATTAAATAAATGACAAAATTAAATAAAAGACTAATTTATAAAGCATGTCTTTTTGAATAATTAAATAACAAAAATTAAATAAAAGATTAATTTATACTAACATGTATTAAATAACAAAAATTAAATAAAAGACTAATTTAATCAAGTATTTTTTTATTTTTATGATAAGGGATAATTATATAAAAATAAACTAAATTAATATTTTTTTATCATATACGTAACAAAATTGGGAAATAAGGATAAAAACAAAAATAAAAATGCCCCAACAAGGGGTAGAACTCGGGTCCCTTTGGTTGCAACAGACATGCCTTGCCAATTGAACTATATTTTCTATCTATTATATCTATGTTCTAATTAAAATATAAGGGGAATATTGATAATGGGCCAACAGGCCCATTGGGGCTGACTCGATTTGGAAGAGAAACAAGGAAGATTTTGGAACCCTAAAAATAAAGAGGAAGGCGCCGCATGTGCTGTTATTGGGAAGGGAAATTACCAGACTAAATTAACATCATTATTTCCAATAAAAAATAATTAAAAGGGAAATTTAAATGAATATTAGGATCCTCTATTTGTCACGTATCAACACCATCATCTTCTACCACTTGTTTTCTTATCTTCAAACATCACAATCCAAATCGCAAATGCACTGTGGAGAAACAAAGAAACTATCTAGCGGAAAAGAAGTAGAGGTGACCACAACAGAGAAATCAAGATCATAGCCTTTTCTAAGAACTTCATGAATGTTGACCCAGAATAATAACATTTTGTTATTAGTATGCAACCTGATTGTTGAGTTGATCAACGGTTTAATGAGTTACTGTGGAGCTTCCGCAACAAGAATCTTCCTCGTCGTTGTTGTTGGCCATGTTCGGTCTGAAAATGCTGATGGTGTGGGTGATTATTTAAAAAATTGATGGTGAGTTAGGGTTTGTAAGACCTAGCCTAGTAGGGGACTACAAGGTTTTGTGTTGAAGCATTTTGTATCAACTACTTTTGTCTTTTAAAGTATTCTTGTATCTCTAGTTGCATATTTGGTTCCGCATCCAAACTTAGTTTTTCACATCCTAGTGCTCTTTTGACCGTGATTTGTTGAAGATAGAAATTCAAGCATCTCACTTAACGCACGACAGCATTCAAACCACCACCTGACTAAACAATATTGAATCCCTGAGTATCATAGTTGTGGTGAAGTGAAGATGTGAGTAGAGATACATTTGAAGAAGAAATGGTTGAGAGTGTGAGCGGAGGTTATGGAAGATAACAGTGGTGTAGTACAGAAGTAGTGGGTATTGGGTTTAAGGTTGAAGAAGATTTACATAAGGTGGTGGTTCGTGTGAGGCAGAAGGTGGATGGATGGGTGTTTGAAGCAGGTTTGTAGTATACTTTGATCCATCTAATTATAATAGTCTTAATTACTGTATTTTTCATGTTCTCCAACATTTCTTATTAACTCCGGAATAAGGAATTTGTAAACTGTTAATTACAGGCAAAAATTCAAGAGTTAGCTGAACATGTTCCAAAGGGTCATATTCCACGAACAATGATTGTTCATATTAGGGGAGAACTCACTAGAAAGCTAGTTCCTGGTGATGTTGGTGAACTATCTGGGATTTTTTCTTCCTATACCTTATGTTGGTTTTAGAGCAATGCATGCTGGCCTAGTTGCTGACACAGACTTAGAGGCCATGTCTGTGTCTCATTTTAAAAAAGAAATTTGAAGGTATATATTTTTTATCTCTGAATTTTTGTGTCATTTATTGTACATTTCTCTATGCGTTAACACTATTATTATTATTTCTAAATGTTTTTAAATATCAAAAAACGCAGCAGTTCTAGAGCACAACAGAAAAGTATGATAAATCAAGCATTCGCATGGCATAAAAGAAATGGTGCAAAGAGAAGATTCAAACTGATGCTGCTATTTAAAAGAGGAAACATATATTGATATGTGTATGAGAAAAATTATGCAGAAACAATAGGGAGAAGAAATACCTATCGGAGTCTCTCATGGACAAAAAAATTACACAAAAAACTCAAGAGGAGAAAAAAACAGAAAAAGGAGAAATTTTTTTCAAGCATCACAGTAAATAATCAGGGTAAAAAGGAGCTTCTAAAAACCTGATTATTTACTGTGATGCTTGAAAAAACTTTCTCCTTTTTCTGTTTTTTTCTCCTCTTGAGGTTTTTCTGTGTAATTTTTTTGTCCATGAAGATGACTTTTATAGAGAAAGAACAAGGCATTTAGGGGGGGGGGGGGGGGGAGAATAGTAGAATATTTAAATTGTTATGACAAACTGTTTTGATGCCTTATTGATGCAGTTTTTATTTATCCATTTGTATGTAATTTTAGTCTTGTTCTGCTTGGTATTTCTATGCAGGTTGGAGTAGGGAAGCAGACTGTTTTATAGCAGTTTTGGACAGAATTGGGACTATTTTCCAGGCTGCTGTTTTGGACAGCAAAAGTGACACAAAAATTGGACTGGTTTGTGTTGAAACAAGGCTGGAAAAATGGGCAGCATGCTGCTATTTTCTTTGTACTAGTTTGTAGGGGCTGTAATATGATATTGGGTTGATTTAATTGTTGGACATGGCTGGAAAATGGGCAGCATGTTTGAAGCATGAAGCTTTAGGACATTAGAATTAATAGTTTGATTTTTATGTACAAACTTGTAATTCCTTTTGTAACTTTGTAGTGATAATTCCAAATAAAATTGTAACATGAATGGAACATGTCTTGAATATAATTTTCTCAATTCCTTTGTAATTGTAAACACTTTTGATCATTATTTGTCTTGATGAAACTAAAAATCTTCTACGTGAATTTGGAAAGGATTTGATTGATACTTGAATGAATTTTTGAATGATGAATAAACAATGATGCAAGCCTTAAAACCTCAATCTTGCATCTTGTATTAGAGATCCAAATGAATTATATGAATTGATCTTGTAATGAAGTTGTAACCATCATGTATTTATTCTTATGACGAATGATTAAATTTCTCTTTTCAATATCTCCTTTAATAAATGCCTCATGTGAATTCAAATGGCCATGGTGAGAATCCATCAAAGTAATCACACAAAAATAATCTTGAATGAATATTAATGTGATGAACGATTATTCTTGAATGAGCCCTTTTGATAACTTCTATTTATTTAACATTTGAATTCACATGCTGAAAATTCCAAGTATTCTAAATAAATTATTCCAAAGTAATCTTTAATTTAGTCACCCCACTCTAACGAAATTAACCTCGTGTCATATAAGTATAAGAAATCTAACCATACTTAAAAGCTTAGAAAGATCAATAGAAGAGGGATTTAAGGCGAAATGTTATCGCATTGAGAAATTGGCATAGTGAACTGAACTTAGAGATCCAGAAACTCTTAAATCATGATAAACATCCCATAGAGTCCTCTCATGTCTTTATAAACACAATTCGTCTTTAACTTTTAAAGAAAACTTGCATATGACTTTCGGTCGAAGTGTTTTGAATTGACTTGCATAGCTTGATCTTTTCTTGTATTTCAAGGAAAGGCAAAACACACGTGAACCAATGGTCATGGAACCTTGACTATTCTTATGAAGAATTTCAGAGACGCTTAAGGCCACTTGTTGAACAGAGCATGGAAATAAACACACAGTTCTCTGAAAGTTCCCCGAAACAAGCTATCACACTCAAGACATCCGTGATCAAAATAAACCTGAACGATGTTCGAGACTCAATTCTATGAGATTAGAATTTGTGCCTTGATGAATCAGACTACGAGAATCAATGATCAATCGTACTTCCGGCTTGAGAGACTCAAAACACTAATTGAGGCGTGATGCCCGATGCTCTTGATTCAGACCTGTTTCTGCACATGAAATCACAGAAACAAAAAAACACACACACACTTCGTGCTAGATTGGAAGTTAGTCATGCATAAGATAAGATGTTCACAACACTCGATAATCTCTGCACAGGTAATGCTAGAAGGTGAGAAGTTTCAAATCGACCATATTTCGTGACCTTGATGTATATAAAAAATAAAAATAAAAAATGCAAATGAAGATGGTATCTTAGGTCAAAAATTGGGGTATGAAACCTTTTATTTATCCAATTGAAAGTTGCGGGGGATCGAACTGTAGTTTGCCCTACCAAGTTCTACACCAGAAACCTCTGATCCAACTAACAACGAGTTTTTATAAAAACTTTAGTAGGCCCCACAACTGTTTGGTTAAGTGACTGGGTGAGGGTCACCTAACTTAATAGGCGCATTCCCTATTTTTGCTAGGTTATGACATGTATTTTTAGAATTTTTGGGATCACCCACTTATATTCATCAACTCCCTACGTAGTTTGTGCTTAAGATCATGCTGACTGCTAATGTAAAATACTCGAGGCTACTTAAAAAACTCAAACTTAAGGTCTTGGCATAATAGGTACTCAAAACGATCATACATAACTAGGGAGTTTAGGGTGTCAAAATGGTATCTATTTTGGTGAATCTTTCTCAAATCAATCCAACATAGCCTAAGGCAAAGCAACCTATTGTACCCCAAAATTTTCCCTCCTATTTTTCTTCAAGAAATTCTCCTAAGGTCCTCATTTCCTCAAGGTTGCCTAAGAATTGATCAGACAAATTCTACTCCTAAGCAATGGATCCACAACTAGGGTTTTTTTTCTCAAGGAAGATTGGGTTTCCAAAGTCTCAAGTGGCTTTCAGGGTTCTTCATATGTCCATAGGAATGCTTATGTCAAGTTTCAAGCCCTGCATCAGAAGTTTGCTCAGTCAATGGCTCAAATGATTGAAAATCAACTATATTGGGTAATAAGTCAACTATGGTCAATATACAGTCAAACTTCAAGATTTTTGGTCAACATCAACATTTTAAAGTGATATTCATCATTTGATCAAGGGTGGATCATGATTCCTCAAGAAAAGCTCTCAAATCATCAACTAAACTTTGACCAAGCATAAATTTCACATGCTTCATCAGCTATTCCCCAACCAAAGCTCGTTTTAAAGGGAATTAAATTCTCTACAACTTTGTCTCTCTAAGCTCAAGTCAAAAAAGTTCTTCATTTAAGAGATATAAGCCAATACATTACAAGTCATTTCAAAAGTCAACAAAAAGACACTTTTTGTCAAGGCAACTTACATCAAGATAAATTCTTCAAAAGAAAATATGATCATGAAGAGATTATATAAGACAACTTGAGCTTTCCAAAAAGTCCAAGATCACCTTCAAAAGATGAAAACTGAGAGAGTTATGACCAGTTCAAAGTGAGCAAGCTTGTTATTTTGGGCTAATGGGCCATGGTTTAAGAGTCCAAACGTGTATTATACTCCTCATACACCTCAAATCTTGTTCATACACCCCTTAAACTATTTTTATTTTAATTATTTTTGATTTATTCATTAATAATACAAAATAAATAAGATAAAATCATATCTTTTTACACAAGGTACAAGTCCACATATCTTTGTCCTAATTTCAACCTATATAATCTCGTCAATTCTCATACAAGAGGAGACGAAAAAACCCTTGCCTCAAAGTTATCAAAAAAATCTCAAAATTTCAAGAACCCTAAAATCTCAAAATCCTTATTATAAGCCCTTCCACCACAAACTTGTCATCCCAAACAACTCCATTCACTCCCAGGGAAAGATTGGATCGTTTTACAACGATCCAAATGGGCAAAAAACACTTGTACATGCATCACGATCTCATCCTTGTTTAAATTTCGTATTTTTTTGTTTTACTGCATTCTAACACTTACTAATGCTTGATATGTGTTTATGAGACTCAACAATACATGTATGGATCATCGTGGAACCCTCATGTAGTTATAATCGTGAACCACCATTCTTACACCGATCTACCTTGTTTGCATCATAGCTCTTAAATCGGGTCATTTTGGCCGACGAAAATACTTGCATTAGATTCACAACCATTGATTTAGGGGGGTGGGGGGGGGGGGGGGGGTAGGAGGTTTTTGATTACTAACTCTGTCTGTTTTGCAGGTTTGTTAAAAGAAGGCAACCAGAGATGATGACAGGAGCTAGGGCTCCGGCGCCTCTCCGATTTAGACATTTTATTTATATTATATATATTTTGATTGATATAAATGAATGGAAATATAGTCTCCCCAACAATAGCAACGTGCGTAATAAGGCACTGGTCTGCCAGGTCACGGGTTCGACCCCCGGTTTTGCCAAAATTTTCATATTTTCTTATGTTTGCAGATCCAACGCAGTAAGCCCTCACGCGTCCATCGTGCATCCTTCCCTTCATCACCCTTGGATCTCAATAGATCTAGATCAACGCATTAGAGCTTGTTGAACCATGGTGAACCCTCTCTAGAAGCCACACTAGATCCAACGCAAGCATATTGGGCTTCCTATTTTGGGCCTAGTGAATTTCTTTCCTCACACCCCTGGTTTGCTTCAATATAGGCCCAGTCTCAATTTTTTTTTTATTTTAACTATTTTTATTTTTTAAAATATAATTAGGTTAAATTTTTCCCTTAATTAAAATTAATTTAGACTTTAGGTTTTAATTAACGCAATTAATCATTTTTTATTAAATTAATTTAATTTTTTTTCAATTAACTTAGTATTTTAGGTTTTTACTAATTAATTATTTTCACTTATTAAAATCAACATAGTTTTTTTAGCGTTTTTAATCAACCTTTTTTTAATAAATCAAAATCAAATTAGGGTTTTTAGGTTAGTCGTCAAACTTTTTTTTCATCAAATAATCACTAAACAATTTTCTCTTTTCTTTTCCTTTTTAACAATTTTGTGTATTTTATTATTGTCGCATTTTTATCATTATATATCTGCTAATGGTTTGTAATAGCTTAATTAAGATTTTACTATTTTTTACTATTTTGTACACCCCCTTCCCGAAGCTTTGTAATAACGTAGGACCCTTTAATTTCTGACTTTACTTTCTGCATTTACCGCTTTTCTTATAACTGTCTAACTTAATAGGATTTTATGGCAAAACATAAAAACAATCGTAGAAAACCCTAATTAAAGACTAAAATAACTGAACATGAATCACTCTTCACACACGCACCTATAGGGTAACCTCACTCGTTGCCTCGGAAAACATTCATGTCCATCGAACGTGGGGACGCTTTACCAAAGACCCCCGGTTAAAAGATCGTAGTCCCTCAATGGCCCTTCGATGCTGCCTTCGGTAAACGATCTTAGTCTCTTACGATAAAATTGCTAAATGGTCCCTACGAGTTACCTTTATGAATGTACGTTGACCCGCACTTGTCCCTTCACATCCAACGATAGAGCTTCTTACTAACTAATGGTAGAGTAGCACTATCTAAAGGAGGAGGAGAATAACACGAAAGACTTTTGAGTAGGTAGATAGTCCTTAATCGCTTGCTCGCGAATATTTCAAAATATCTTTTTCACAAACACTTTTTCTCAAAATATTTTCAAAAAATAAACACTTTGTACGCATTCTTAAATGATACAAGAATCATTACAAAGTTGTCGTACTTAGGCATTTTTAAAAATATTTTCAAACAAACACATAAAAAAAATCATCTTCAAAGTGAGATAGCGATTAAGAGCCCGTATATAACTACGGATGAAAAGGGTGCTAACACC